ATATATTTTAAATATTAAATGTTAATTGTAATAATAATATTTTAATATTTAATAAAATATTTTATTGTGATTAGACGGTTAAAATTAAACAATTATAATCATCACAATATGACGCAACATTATCATCTCATCATCTCAAAAATAATAATATTAAAATGGTACCTAGAGGGCTAAGAAGTGAAGGGTGGAATGGATTCAAATGGATCAGGGTAAGGCACATTAAATCCCAAAACTCTCCCCCCCCCCCCACTCGTACACGGGATAATGAGGAGACCCAGTAAGGAAGGAAGAGAATTAATAGCAATCCAGATGAGATCTTTCAGCCCATGATTCAATTTCTGTTAGAGACAAATGGAAACAAATTCGGGCTGCTGTTGTGAACGTTATCATTCTAACACGGCATATGACTGGATTAATACATTCACACACTGCTGCAGCTCACATCAATGAAGATCCGGATTAACAACGAGATTCAAGACATTTGTAAAATCCTACACCAGGCGGCAGCACTTGCAAGAGTGACTAAACTATATGCATTTGACGCGCGTCATTTAAAAAGAAAATTAAAACCTCTGATATAAATTCCTCGTATATGACGATAGTGAGGCATAAGTGTTATTACAATCTGACTGCAAATCCACATCAACTTCTTGTTTTAATAATAGCTACAAGACCAGCATTGATAAAAATAAAGTAATTAGCACGATATATCCCATAGAGATTATTATCATTATTATTATTATTATTTTTATTTAGTGTTCTGTCTGAGGAGAGGTCCATATGAACAGGATCCTTCCATCCTTTTCTCGGACTGGGACCTGTTCATATACAGCTTATATACGATATATTTGAGTAATTCCTTAAAATAATATAAAATTAGAGTAATATTATTCCATTTCCTATGTCGGTAGCCAGAATCACGATATGAAAATTAAAATTGATTTTGCAGATATAGGCACCCAGACGCGTCTCCAAAATTAAATGAAAGAAGCCTGGAGATGTAATAAAAACGGATAAAACATAAGCAATATAAGCAGAGCAACAGATACACCAGATTTTAATTTTAATTTTGATAGACCTGACGATGATAGAATTGTATATCGAAACATGTCGTCAATTTTAAAAATGTAACAATTTTATGTGATTTTAACAATAAGCTTGTGAAACGACGGAAAATAAAAGTATTGTAATGAAAATGGATGTACATATACTTAAAGTGACAGATGTCATTTAAACACTATTTTTAATAATTTTTACAATAAGATGAGATTATATCAATTACATAGCAGAGATAAAAATGTTTATAAGCCATCTAGAAATGTATCACCAATTTCTTCACTTATTGCCTTGCCCAACACAAGTTATAAATTCGGGCACCGCCGGGAATCGAACCCGAGACCCCAGGATTACAAGGCCAGCGTTCTAACCGTCCATAGAGATATATGATGTAAATGTTGGAGCTCATCCGACTTTTTAAAATGAACGTTTACGTGACACAAACGAGGCTGTGCGTACTGAATCATGATCATAGTAGGGTAATTTAGGGATATCTCGACACCTTAAGAAAGAACTCTAGGTTTCAGGAATATTTTTTGAAAATTAAAAACAGAAATTTTCGTATATTATCCAAGGAGGTATGTTTTATTTGTACTACAATAATAAAGCAGGTAAGTTTAAGTGCAATTAACAAAAAAGAAATGGAAGCAAAATGTCGACTTCTCCCTGTGTTTGGGGAGAT